GGGCAGCTCCGCACCCCGCAGTCCTCCCCCGCGTAGCCCGGGTCGCACACGCAGCGCCCGTCCTCGCAGCGTCCTCTCTGGTGGCAGCCGGCGGGGCAGGAGCGCTGGCTGCAGTCGGGGCCTGCGAAGCCCGCCCGGCACACGCACACGCCCTGCAGGCAGCGCCCGCGGCCGTGGCAATCGCCGGGGCAGGAGGGCCAGCCGCAGCTGGGGCCCGCATAGCCCGGGAAGCACACGCAGCGGCCCCGGACGCAGCGGCCCTGGTCGTTGCAGTCGTCGGGACAGGACGCAGAGGCTGCGGCCGGCGAAGAGGTGGGCACCCGGGTCTCCGCGGGTTCGGAACAGGTGGGCCCGCTCCAGCCTGGTTCGCAGGAACACGCACAGCGGCTCAGGTCAAACACTCCGTGGAGGCTGCAGAGGCTCCGCACGTCGGTTTGTCCTGGAGTAGGGAAAGAGAGGCCGGACTCAGGCTCTGCAGGGAGATTGAAAAAGCTGTATTGTGTTCCTATGGGTAGAGCCGGGTTTGTGTCGCTGGGCCACCCATGCACAGCTACCAACACTCTCAACTCTTCCTGTGTGGCCTGACCAGACTCTTTGCAAACCTGTGTCCTGGGGTACATCCGCCATCCTGAATAGCCAGCCAAGGATACATTTTCTTGCTTTCTTCTTTAAAAAAAAAAAATCTATTCCTATTATAAAAGGTGATGTGCAGGAAGTGGTGCTGTGGCTCAAGTGGTAGAGCACTAGCCTTGAGCTGAAGAGCTGATGGACAGCGCCCAGGCCCAGAGTTCAGGCCACACAACCAGACCCCCCCCACCAAAAAAAAGGTGGTATACAGAGGGGTTACAGTTACATAAGCCAGGCAAAAGTACATTTCTGTCCTTCCTTCCTTCCTTCCTCTCCCCCCCCTACTCCTTCCTTCCTTTCTTTCTCGATTGTGGGGGTTGAACTCAGGGCCTGGTTGCTGTCCCTGAGCTTCTTTTGCTCAAGGCTAGTGCTCTATCACTTTGAGCCACAGTGCCACTTCTGGTTTTCTAGTGGTTAGTTGGAGATCAGAGTCTCACAGACTTTCCTGCCCAGGCTGGCTTTGAACCATGATCCTCACATCTCAGCCTCCTGAATAGCTAGGATTACAGGCGTGAGCCACCTGGCCTAGAAGAGTACCTTCCTTTTTGCACAGTGTCACCCCTTCCCTTGTTCTCTCTCAGTTTTTCCCTCCTGTCCCCACCCACAAGTTCATTTTCAACATAGTGTCTAGCGAGTACCATGGCTGCATTTGTTCACTCTTTGTCCCTCCATTTCTGTGCCTCCCCTTATCCTCCCAAAGACAGATAAACAAACTAGACAAAAACAGACACAAAAATAGCAACAAAGACAAAACAACCCTCTTATTTCCATTTCCTGGAGTTCATTTAAATATTCTTATATATGATTATTTCAGTGGCACCTCTTTGATTCACACCAAGGTCCTTTCTAGACCAGTATTTAACCCCCCCCCACCTTCCTCTTCTTCTGGGGCCATCTGCTTACCTGTGCCAGCCTGGGCAGCCGCAGGGCAACATCCTCCTGTACAGTGCTCCTTGAGCCCTTTCACCAGCTCCTCCAGGATCTCCAGCCGGACTCTCAGGGCCTGCACCTCTGAAGCAGGAACTGGGGGCTCCGTGCCCGGGGGACAGCCGCATCCAGCAGATGGGGGCAGGTTAATGCGGTGGGTGAACACCACTTGCTTTTCCCCTCCTTCCACTGTATGCTCGTAAAGCTGAGAAGGGTTCCCCCCTCCTGCCCCCACGGTCCGGCCCCCTGGCTTTGGAGGGGGCCGTGGAGCTGGAAGTGTTACATTGGATCGTGGAGAGAAGGGGCCTGCACCTGCCGTGCCCAGCAGCACCAGGAGGACCACACTGGAGGTTAGGGGACACTGGGCTGGCATCATTCAGGAGACTGCAGGGAGAGAGGGCAAGTGTGAACACTGACTCAGAAAAGAGGCAAAATTGCTCTGATCTGTCTCTTCCCCAACACATACCAGCAGCCACAGCAGCCACAAGTAACCTACTCAACTCACATGTTTGTGAGAATTCACATTCAACTCAATCTGGAAGGAGTTAGGAGGAGCCATCTCTGGGCATGGATGGGCAGATCTGGTCTTTATCTCTGCAGATGTTACTTGATAACTTTATGTCCCTCTGTTGATTGTATCTCTCTCTCTCTCTCTCACACACACACACACACACACACACACACACATACACACACACAGAGTCACAAATATTACAGGCTTACACTAGCCTAAGGGCCTTTGAACTGTATGTTTCCTCTGTCTCAGAAACCCTTCAATCAGCTCTTAAAGGTTTGCCCTTTTGAGCTGGGTGCCAATGTCTCATGCCTGTAGCTATTTAGGGACTATTCAGGAGGCCTAGATCTGAGGATTGCTATTCAAAGTCAGCCCAGGCAGCAAAGTTCATGAGACTATTATTTTCAATTATCCACCAAAAAGAAAATGAAAATAAATAATCATAAACAACTTGGAAATAAAGCTGTGGTTCAAGTGGAAGATTGCTATTCTTGAGTGAAAAAGCTCAGGGACAGGGCTGGGAAGGTGGCTCAGTGGTAGAGCGCTTGCATTGCATGCCTCAGGCCCTGGGTTCGATTCTTCAGCACCACATAAGCAAAAAGAAAAAAGCCGGAAGTGGTGTTGTGGCTCAAGTAGTAGAGCGCTAGCCTTGAGCTGAAGAGCTGAGGGACAGCACCCAGGCCCAGAATTCAGGCCCCACAACCGGACCCCCTCCCCCCCCAAAAAAAAGCTCAGGGACAATACCAGGTCCTGAGTTCTAGTCCTAGGATAAGAAAGAAATAGAAAGAAAGAAAGAGAGAGAGAGAGAGAGAAAGAGAGAGAGGGAGGGAGGGAGGGAGGGAGGGAGGGCTGGGAATGTGGCTTAGTGGCAGAGTGCTTGTCTAGCATGCATAAAGCCCTGAATTTGATTCCTCAGTACCACATAAACAGAAAAGGCTGGAAGTGAGTGGTTCAAGTGGTAGAGTGCTAGCCTTGAGCAAAAGAAGGTCAGGGACAGTGCCCAGGCCTTAAGTTCAAGCCCCAGGTCTGGCAAGAGAAAGAGAGAGAGAGGGAGGGAGGGAGGAAGGAAGGAAGGAAGGAAGGAAGGAAGGAAGGAAGGAAGGAAGGAAGGAAGGAAGGAGGGAAAGCAAGCTCAATATGAACAGGAACCTCATTTAACCTTACACTGCTGGGACAAATACATTGAATAAATGTGCCATTAGACAATGATGTGCTAAATGAGATTCAGAAATGGGTTAACTAGGGTCAGTCTTCCCCAAGCACCTGGATCCCAGCTCCTACTGCCTTCTCAGAATCCTTAAGTATAAGGTTTCTGCTCCAGTCTCCTCCCCTTCCCTCCCCTTCCTTCCCCTTCCCTTTCTTCTCTCCTCCTTTTCCTTCCCGCTCCTCCCCCCAGTGTTTGGAGCTCAGGACCTTCTATTTTCTAGGGTGCATTCTACCACTTGAACCACGCCCCTAGCTCTTCCCACTCTTTTCTTTTTTTGGGGGGGGTCCGGTCGTGGGGCCTGAACTCTGGGCTTGGGCGCTGTCCCTCAGCTCTTCAGCTCAAGGCTAGCACTCTACCACTTGCGCCACAGCACCATTTCTGGCTTTTTTCTTTTTGCTTATGTGGTGCTGAGGAATCGAACCCAGGGCCTCAGACATGCAAGGCAAGCGCTCTACCATTGAGCCACCTTCCCAGTCTCAGAGGAAGACCTTTTATTTTTTGGGTCCGGTAGTGGGGCCTGAACTCTGGGCCTGGGCGCTGTCCCTCAGCTCTTCAAGGCTAGCACTCTACCACGTGAGCCACAGTGCCACTTCTGGCTTTTTTCTTTTTGCTTATGTGGTGCTGAGGAATTGAACTCAGGGCCTCAGGCATGCAAGGCAAGCGCTCTACCACTGAGCCACCTTCCCAGCCCCCCACTCTTTTCTTAACCTCATGCTCTCAATTAGATCCTTTCCATTAGCTTTATATATAATTCCACCATTATATAGCTACTTATATACAATCACAAATCATCATAAATGCTACCAGTGAGAATTCTGTGGTATGTGGGATCACATGAGAGGGGTCTTGACCTGGTCAGGAATTCTCTGAAGGAAGAAGAGTGAAGGGAGTCACATTCCACACAGAGGGAACAGCATATACTATGGTCTAGGATGAAGGAGGAGCACAGAGGGTGGGGGACTTAAGGCTGGTGGGGCAGGAGTGGATAGAATGAGGGAAATGTTATGGAAGATGAGCTGACTAAGGTCAGCCGGGGCAGATGAGGAGGACTGTTGGTCAGTGTTCTAAGAGAATTTGGATGGGAGGAGAGAAGAGGGGCATCCTGATTACCTTTGTGAGACTTTAGAGGGCAAAAGGAAAGAAAAGGGGCAAGGATGGAGTATAAAATCTATGGGTGCATAGATGGTACCTTTTGCCAGTTCTGGAGCTTGAACTCACAGCTTAGGTGCTGTTCCTGTTTTTTGGTCAAGGCTGGTGTTCTACCACTTGAGCCACAGCTCAGCTACTTCCAACTTTTTTGGTGGTTAATTGTTTGCAAGAGTTTCACAGACTTTCCTGTGCTGGCTAGCTTTTTTGTTGTTGTTGGTGGTGGTGGTGGTGGTCGTCGTTGTGGGGGCTTGAACTCTGGGCCTGGACGCTGTCCCTCAGCTCTTCAGCTCAAGGTGAGCACTCTACCACTTGAGCCACAATGCCACTTCTGGTTTTCTGGTAGTTAATTGGAGATAAAAGTCTCACAGACTTTCCTGCTCGGGCTGGCTTTGAACTGCGATCCTCAGATCTCAGCCTCCTGAGTCGTTAGGATTATAGATGTGAGCCACCAGTTCCTAGCAGTACCAATTTTTCTTTTGCTGCTTTATGTTTGTATTTAGGACATGACAAGTCCTTAATACCTGTTGACAGTCTTAAGGAATGAAATGCCCAATTTAAGTCCAATTAAGGCTGGAGTCAGGGATAGAACCGAGGTCAGGACTAGGACCACGGACAGTGTCTGGGACTGGAAGTTGGTTAGAGACAGTAAGCAAAGCAGACGAGTCAGAGAACTGGCAGAATGTACTCAATTTAGACCAATGCCCTGTCATTTTTACCTCTAGGAACATAACCAATGTCGCACAGCAGCATTACTCAAACTGGAAGTTACAAAATGTCACTAAAATGCCTTATTTACACAGTGTACTAAAACAAAAAATGAAGATGAGCTATAGTTACATGTAGAACTGCAGATGGAGCTTAATAAGATTGAGCAGAACAAGCCAGACACATAAGAAAACATTCTAGACAATTCTTTTCAAAATGAAGTTTGAGGCACAAGGGCAGTAAATTTTTAGTGACCTAAGTCAGAAAGGGTGTGCTCACAGGCGCTGGGAAGGTGGCTCAGCGGTACAGTGCTTGCCTTGCATGCATGAGGCCCTGGGTTCGATTCCTTAGTACCACATAAGCAGAAAAAGCTGGAAGTGGCGCTGTGGCTCAAGTGGTAGAGCACTAGCCTTGAGCTGAATTGCTCAGGGACAGCATCCAGCCCCATGACCGATAAAAAACAAAAAACAACAACAGAAAGGGTGTGCTCTCAGTACGCAGTGACAAGAAGAGGCATGGTGGGGAAATTCTAAGGTGCTAAGATGATCTTGTTTTGCACCCTGGGGTCACATACATATAATCCTGGCACTTGAGAAGCAGAGGCAGGAGAATTGTGAGTTCCAAACTAGTAAGAGCTACATAATGTCCCAACTCAGAAAACAAGAGCTGAGGATGTAGCACACCATAAAAGAATACTTTGTTTTATTTGTTTGTGATTTTATCTAGGGCTTTGCACACGCTAGGCAAAAGTCATTTACTGAATGACTTTTCCTCCCTCCCTCCCTCCCTGCCTTCCTCCCTTCTTTCTTTTGGGAGAGCTGTGGGTTAATCCTTATTTCTTAATTTGGGTGACTGCTACCAGTTGTGTTCATGGAACTCACTGAAGCAAGGACTGGGAAGCAAGAGAGAGAAGGGTTAGAGAGGAAAGGTATGAATAGGGGAGAATGCGGAGGGGGCAGAGCAGGCTTTCAGCTCAGGTAAGAGTCATGCGGGGATGCTGGCAGGTGCCCAGTTCATCCAGAGCAGAGAGGTTAGGAAGAACAGGAGGGCAAGGTGGGTAGTGGAAGAGCTGAGTGTTTGGGGTATCACTGGTGAGGAGGGAGGGGGCTGTGACACTCCTCCTCCAACATATGTATTTCCTGGCTTCCTCTGGGTCAGAGAAAACAGATGCTTTGGGGGCTACTGTCATCACCTTCTCCCATCAGTCATCAAGACATAAGGAGAGTTGGACAACAGACTCTCTCCTCACCTTCCCCCCCCCCCACCACTCCAGAAAGCCAGACAGAGGCCTGGCTGTTGAGCTGCCCCTCCTGGGGCCCCAGCCTTGCCTTCAGCTGGGGGGTGGAACCTCTCATGAGATGGCTTCTGGCCTACCTTTCTTGTCACTCTGTATCTAAGGCCTGCAAATCACAGGCGACAGGTAAGACAGGTGCTATCTCACTTTACCTGTCACTTTGTAGCTATTTTTTTTTTTGGGTCCAGTCATGAGGCCTGAACTCTGGGCCTGGGCGCTGTCCCTCAGCTCTTCAGCTCAAGGCTAGCGCTCTACCACTTGAGCCACAGCGCCACTTCCGGCTTTTTGCTTATGTGGTGCTGAGGAATCGAACCCAGGGCCTCTGGCTTGCAAGGCAAGCACTCTACTACTGAGCCATCTTCCCAGCCCTGTCACTTTGTATCTAAAGCCCTGTGCCCAACTATGGTATGCATGTACACACAAATATTTGACACAAATATCTTCACGTGCGCTCAGCCAAAAATACAAATATGAAAACACATGTACTTAAATACACACGTGCACCCAAATAAACCCACATCTTTGCAGGCACATGCAGGCGTACATGCCCTATTCATTGTCTCCCACACCTAGTCTATGAGTAACGCCTAAGAAAGCCAGTTTTGTCTCTGTATTGGTGGCTTGTGATCTTAGCTATTCATGAGGCTGAGAAATGAGGGTTGCGGTTCAAGCCAATTATTTCCAATGACCAGAAAAAAGTAAAGCCAGAAGTACAAGTGTGGCTCAAGTAGTGCATTGTCAGCCTTAAGAAGAAAGAAAGAAAGAGAAAGGAAGGAAGGAAGGGAAAAAAGGAAGAGAAAGGAAGGAAGAAAGAAAGGAAGGAAGGAAGGAAGAGGTGAGTGGGGGGGGCACTGAGTTCAAGTCCCAGTACTGGCAATACACACACACACACACACACACACACACACACACACACACACACGTATAGATACCTTTGAGAAATAAAGAGCTGTGTGGAAGAACTGAGCTGGAGTGCAGGGAATCAAACAGGGGTCCTTCCCAAGTGGGGAGCAGGCTGGTCTTTGCAGATTTCCCTCTCTTG